GGCAAAATTCCAACAAAAGTTTTTTGCCACCACATTATTGTTCATTCAGTTATTCACCAAAATTCTAATATTTCTCATTCCTTGATGTGAATATTTAATGAATTGAAATATTTTTTGTTGAAGCGACGGGATCTTGCATCACGCGTGCCTGTCGAAAAATATATGTTTACACCTATTTTACCGCTCAAATTTTTTCTTAGCTCAAATGGTACGTCACGTCATCACGAATAGAATGACAACTCAACCATACTTTTCGATGAAAGCAATCTGAAATTATGTGAAATATCATTTGTGAATTAAACGATAGAGGGAGAATTTGTCTGCAGTGCTTAGGCATCTCCACAAAAAATTAGAGTTTGAAATGTTGAAACAGGGAGATTTTTGAGATACCCGTTTCATAATTTCAATATAAACAATTCTGCAGGCAGTTATCACAAGTAAATTATACGCGACATAAAAAAATAACACATTTATTGCGATAATCGGATTTATCCGCAGAGTCGTGTCAATATATCCAATTAAAAACATTACAAATCACAGTAATGGACGATTATAGTTCTGCAACATTTCACTCAGCGCGGGCAGATAGAGCGTAATCGCTCGAATTAGGCCCTTGAGTGTTAAAATGTCGAAAGCTTTCCATTTTATGTTAATGCGAACTCATACTCTCGCGCGATGGCCGTTGTATAAACAAATGCGATTCTATGTAGGTTAAAAGATTTGTCGAAAAAGGCAAAAATCAATTACTCACTGGAATCAGTAAACATTCGACATTGTGTTACGACGGAGAGCAAGCAGGTCATGGGAGAAGGACGTTTTGAAAATGGTATGAAATAATTTGATTTTCCTAATCGTGTTGGGCAACAAAGAAATGACAAGTTTTCTTACCGTTAGTTACTCGCATTTGGAAAAAGAGTTACCAGGACAATCCCAGTTGTTAGCGAATGTTTGTTAACTGCCGTTAACGAGGTATTTTTTCAGGTGTTAATCAGAGAAAAACACCTCAATCAATGGGTAAGGAACACAGTTTATAGTCTTTCAATAACTGAAAATCGAGAAGTTCCCACAGAATATAACTAGTTTCCGGTGGAGTCTGCTAATTTCTTGAAGTAAGTTTCAGATAACTTGCATAAGAAACCTAATTTACCAAGAAATCACTCAGAGGGACCTAATACTTTTCACTGAAATAATAGTATGTAAACGATTCAATGAGTTTTCTAGACGTTACTGTTAGTAAAATCAACAATGAACATGATTTTGCAATTTTCC